CCCCGCGGCCACCGCGGCGCCGCTGCGTGCCGCCGGGCTCTTCTTGCCCGACTGGGCCAGCCCAGGCGCCAGCAGTGGCGAAGCGTCCCGGCTCGCCCACAGGCCCACGAAAGAGTCGGGGGCGGAAAAGAGGGGGGTCCTGACTAGGGGGGGGGGGATATCATGGCGGGGGCCATGATATTTCCCCAGATTTCATGGCGCCTCTTCTCATTTCATTACGTCCCTGGCCCCCCCGCTGGGCCGCGCACATGCCGCCAGTCATGATTTGCACCCCCCCCTCTTGGACACCCCCCTCTTGGCCGCTCCCGAGAGAGTGTTCGAAGAACCTGTGGTGGTCTGCACGACTTGTTCTTGAAGCATTTCTGGCTGAGACCGTCTCGTTTTAGCACAGCGGCCTTCTGTTCTAAGATACGTGTTTTCGTTTTTCGAGCAGTCGTCTGTTCCAAGGAGATGTCTTGGTAGGCTCGTAGGAAAGCCAGGACGGTCGGTCCCTGCTCAACAGGCTCTGGTGCAGCGCCGCCAGGCGGCAGCCGGGCCGCCCAGGTGCTCCTCAGGGCGTCGCGCAACGAGGTGCCCGACCTGGCCTTCGTCCGGGCCGTGCTGCTCTTCAACTCCTTCGGCGCCGGGACAGCAGGGCAGGACCAGGTCGTGTTCCGCACGCTCGCCAGGGCGAACCACAGCTGCTTGCCGACGTGCATCGTGGACGGGGACGAGGGCACACTGCGGCTGGTCCGCGACGTGGCCGCGGGCGACGAGCTCACGGTGTCGTACCTCGACGATGCGACGTTGATGTGGCCGCGAGATCGCAGGCGCGAGGAACTGATCGACCGCTACGACTTCCTCTGCCGCTGCGGCCGCTGCGAGGCGCCAGAGGACGACGTGCGCCGATTCCGCTGCTGCGCCGCGGAGGGCTGCGGCGGCGATCTGCTGGTAGTGCACGGCGGGCCCCCAGCCCTGCGGTGCGCCCGCTGCGCAGCCGGGTCGCCCGACGAGCTATCGCGCGCCCTGCTGGCCGACGAGGCGGCGGCGGCGGCATGCCTGGAGAAGGCCAAGAGGGGAGACCTCGAGGAAGAGGAGCAGCCACGCGCAGAGGGGGGCAGGGGGAGGGGGGAAGGCTTCTTCGAAGCAGCCCTGCTCCTTAGCCTGAGAAGGCGCGGGCCTTTCCTGCAGACGCAGGGCCAGCGCCTTGTAAGAAGCAGCGTCCTTCTCAGAAGCCTCACCCCCTCCCCCTTACCCCCTTGTGCGCGCCGCCGAGAGGAGGAGGGCCAGGAGCTGATCAAGTGCGCGAGATTTGCTTCCAGGCACCCCGCGCACGCCCTGGCCATCGAGTTGGGGCACGACTTCGCCTTCCCGGACGCGGTCCCTGCAAAGCGCGCCGTGCTGGAGGGCCTTCGGCTGATTTTCGGGGACGCCCCCTGCCAGCTGGCAGTGGACGCGGGCCGGGACCTCGCGCAGGCGCTGGAGGCCCGGTCGGATCGCGAGGGTGCCCGGGAGTGCCTGCGCCGTGCCGCCGAGGCCCCCGCCTCGGCAGGCCTAATTAATGATCGGGTCGGACGGCCGGGCGCCGTGGGGCGCCTGCGTCTGGGATCCGCCCCGGCTGTGTGGCAGAGCGATCCGCTGGGGAGCCTGTGGTCCTGGAGTGTTTGTTTTGATGGGCCTGTTTTCCACCACCACCACAAGTTGGAGGGGGGGAGGAGGTGGAGGAGGAGGAGGGGGGGGAGGAGGAGGAGGAGGAGGAGGAGGGAGGAGGAGGAGGAGGAGGAGGAGGAGGACCCCCTCCCCCTCCAACTTATGATGGTGGTGGTGGAAAACAAGCCCATCATGTTTGTGGAGGCTGCCAGGGCCTGAGCCTCCCGGGTGGGGTCGGAGCAGACGGGCTCGGAGGGAATCTCGGCATCGTCGATGCATCGGCGATGCGGCTCGCTGAGGAGCCCGATGCTGTCCACGCCCACGGAGCCGATGCATCGCCGACGTCGCCGATGCATCAGCGATGTATCGACGATGCATCGGCGATGTCTCGGCGATGCGGCGCGAGCCTCCGAGCTCATCTGCTCGGACCCCATCCAGGAGGCCTCTCCAGAGGCGGTTGTTCCCGGCTTCGCCTCAGTTTTGGGCCCGTGTGGCCCTCGCGGCCTCGTGAGAGGTGCCCTGGAGCCCAGCTGAGTTCCGTCGAACAACCGATGATGATAATGATTATGATGATGATGATGATGATGCTGATGATGATGATGACGACGATGATGATGATGATGATGATGATGATGATGATGATGATGATGATGATGATGATGATGATGATGATGATGATGATGATGATGATGATGGTGGTTTAGGGTATAGGGTATGGGGTATAGGGCGGCGGATCGAACGGCCTTCGGCCCAGCCCGCCACCGTGCCCGGATTGCGCTGCTTGGGGTCTCTTTGGAGCGCTCTCGGAGGCATCCCCGGGGGCGGTTTTGTGGCCTCTTGGGGGCGTCTTGGGGGGCCCTTGGGAGCCTAATTATTGGGGGCGTCTTGGGGGCCTCTTGGGGCCTCTGGGGTCTCTCTTGGGGCTTCCTGGGGGCCGAAAACGTGAGAACGCCGCTAAATCCTTCAACAACCTTCGGAAATCCGGCAGTTTTGCCACCTTGGGGCCCTCTTGGGAGTGCTCCTGGAGGCCTCTAGGGGCATCTTGAGGCCATCTTGCGCGTTTGGGGGCGATCCTTCGGAGACTCGAGGCCCTCTTCTCAGACATCCGGCCGCTCCAAGTTTTTCGGTGCGTGGGCCCCAGAGGTCCCGACCCTTTCCCCGGGGCCCGTTTTCCTTCCCGAGTCGTTTTCTGACACTCCCGAGGCCCGACGAGGGCCCCCCGAGGCCGAAAATGGCCAAAACCGCCCGAAGCTGCATCTTGGGACCGTCTTGGCGGGGGAGTCCACGGAGCACGGGAGAAGCCCCCAGAGATTTTGGGAGTGCGGGGTCCGGGCCCCGAAGATGCGTGCAGCACAGTGGAGGCCCATGCCAAGAAACACCCTGCTTGCCTCCAGGGTGCCCTGGGTTTCTTGGGTTTCGATGACTTTGCAATGGAAAGCGTGGCGTTCCCACACCAAAAATGAGTGGACATCCTGGGGTCTCAGGTTGGGTTTCTTGTTGAAGGTTTCTTGTGGATCGGCCCCAACAGTATTCCTCAGGAGTGAGGACTGAGGCTTAGGGGATTTGGTAATGGATTCGGGGACGCCAACTCAGTGCCCAGGTGCACGGTGGCGGATGACAATTGTAGTGATGGACGGATGGATGGATGGATGGACGGATTGATTGATGGTTATGATGATGAGGATTATGTTGGCGATGAGGAACGAGGAGGAGGATGCGGCTGAGGATGTGAGGATAAACTTGAGGAATGTGATGATACTGAGGATGACGCTGACGATGTTGCTGCTGCTGCTGATGCTGCTGGTGCTGCTGGTGCTGCTGCTGCTGCTGATGATACTGATGCTGATGATGCTTATGATGATGATTATGATGATGATGATTATGATGATGATGATTATGATGATGAGGAGGAGGAGGAGGGGGAGGAGGAGGGTGACGGTGGTGGTGGTTGTGACGTTGCTGCTGCTGAGGATGATGATGATGATGATGCTGATGATGATGATGATGATGATGATGGTGGTGGTGGTGGTGGTGGTGGTGGTGACAATGATGATGATGTTGAGGATACTGAGGATGAGGATGAGTGTTGTATGGGGAACGGGGGCGATAATGGTTGTGATGGGGATGGGGATGGGGATGGTCATTATGATTCTGACGATGACGATGGTGATGACGATGATAACGGAGCTGATGATGATGATGACGATATTGACGATGGTGATGACGTTGATGACGATGATGATGGCAATGGTGATGTGCATGATGTTTTAGCGCTGGAGGGCCGAAACGCATCGTTTCCAAAATGGGTAGCTCGCTCGGGACTCTGCTTCAGCTCGTTGGTAGCCTCGCCCTTTTCGGTGTGTTCGAGCAGTCGAGTTTGCGGAAACATGAAGGCACAGACGACGCACGATGTTTTCGCGCAGTGTGTTTGGCATTGCACGGCACGGAACAAGTTACGACGTGTGTTGTGTAATCATCTCACGTTCCATTGCGCAAAGGGCGTTACCGCGGTTCCGTCGTTGTGCTGGGTTTTTCCTCTTATCCAGGAGTGGGAGCCAGGGTCGCGCTGGCAGCGTGGGAATGCCGACCACCCTTCCGCGGCGCGAGGGTGACCGCGGCAGGGCGCGGGGGGACGGACTCGCTCCGCCGCGCACCGATGCGCGAGCTCGGAGGACCCGGGCCACCTCACGGGCCGTTCCGGTGAGGGGGCTCTCGCCTCTGAAGTCGGGGGCGGAAAAGAGGGGGGTGATGACTAGGGGGGGGTGGATATCATGGCGGGGGCCATGATATTTCCCCTGATTTCATGGCGCCTCTTCTTATTCCATTACGTCCCCGGCCCCCCCGCTGGGCCGCGCACATGCCGCTGGTCATGATTTGCGCCCCCCCCTCTTTGCCGCTCCCGATGAAGGGTCGGGACGCTGGACAGCCTCCTCGGCAGAGGGCGCTGGAAGGCCAGTGGATGCAAGACGGGCGTGGCTTCGCCAGCGGAAGGGCGGCGGGAATCAGTTGGGCCTCGCCTACATCGGCTTGGCACCGCGCGGACGTGTGCATTTTTTCTCGACGAGGACCATTGAGGAGCTTCCTGGATCACCTGGCCAAAAAAGCACACGCGAAACCAAATCACACCAGAGAGACACCCCAAGCAGTGGATGGTTTGAACGATTTGGCAGGTACAATGTATGGCCACTGTTTTCGCCGTACGGCCCGAAGAGGCAATCGTGAGATCGATGGTGAGCTCGATCGTGGGATCCCGAAATCGGCCCAGAACTAGCGACCAGGACCCCGGAACCCGGCAACAGGGAACCTGCATGGGAACCCAGCCGCCCCACCGAAATCGGCTAGCAGCAAACGGACACGCGGGAAGCCTGAACCGGAAACCCGGGAACCTGGGAACCCGGGAACCCCAGACTTTGGCTGCCTAATTACCGAAATCGGCGGGAATTTCCGCCAAATGTTTCAATGTCCGCTACCCCTACAGTGCAAGCACTGATTGGGGAAAAATGAATGCACGGGGAATGGACGTCCGGGCGATGGCAAGAGACGGGCGTGGCTCACCCACCGGGAGGTGGGAATCAGTTGGGTCTCGCGTAAGGGGGGGGCGGATAAATGAAGGGGCGGCGAGAGCTGAAGGATACGGCCTTTTAGGGCCCAAAGAGGGCCTTGAGGGCCCGAGAAGTACCCCTTTCCTCAGCCCTCACCTGTCGCCCCCCCACCTGTTCACGCCCAATGACAACAGTCAATAGTGGAAGCGGCGGACGCGGGTAATCTAGTTGGTTCAGGCCCGCTGCGCTTGGGTTGTGATCAGAGGCCTCAATGGAGCCTCTCGAGAGCCTCTTGGAAAGCTTTCGGGGGTCCCTAGGGGGTTGGGGGAGGTCTCGCGGGGCCTCTTAGATTCTCTCCGCCGCGTCGCGATGCGCGAACTTCGGCGATCTGGGTGATAACACGCTCGGCACAGTGGGGAGGGCAGACTTCCACTCCGGGGCCACCCGACGGACTGGAGCAGAAGCACCGAGCGCTCCCGTGGGTCCAACCTGCACCGCCCACTTATCCACCCCAACCCAGCCCGAACGCCCCGATGTGCCACGCATGTCCAGTGGGGTGGGGGGGCGGAGACCGGAGGAAAAACACCGATGAAGCCTGGACCCCCCAACCCGAAATTCGGTTCTTCGGCTCGGGCTGGGGCAGTCTGGAGGGTGGTCCATCCTCCCTTGGGGACCCTGGTTCTCCGCGCGCTGCCAGAGTCGAAGCCTCTGGCTCGCCCGGTGGGCTCGGTCGGATCTGTCTGCTGTGCCACGGGGGGCGCAGGCTGCCACGCGCGCGGCGGCCAGAGTCGGATTCGAGCTCCCTGGGGGCTGCAGGGAGGAGAACGTGGAGGAGCGACCATCACGCTTTTGCTGCAGGCAGCTGGGCCTCCCAGATGGCGTCGGTGTAGCTGGGGTTGCAGGATCGCGCCGCATCGCCAATGTATCGGCCATGCATCGGCGACGCACCGCCCGCATCGACGGTGCGGCTCGATGCGAAGCCCGATTCCACACCGACGTCGCGGAAGCCTCGCCGATGCATCGCCGATGCGCCGCCGGTGCCTCGCCGATACCTTGGCGATGCACTGGCGATGCTGGCGCGATCCCTCGACCCCCCCTGCTCGGACCCCATCTGGGAGGCCTCCGGGCACGCTTTTGCTCAGGAGCGAAAGAAGGACGTACATGTACATGAATCCACGCTGTTTTCGAGAGCACGCATTTCACAAATGTTCGTATAACGCGGCCGGTCTCGCGAATCGAGGGGCCGTGTTCATGTACATAGCTGGGGGCGTACGTCCTTTGTGGGCTCCCTATTTGCTGGCCCACGGTCCTCTTCGTCCGTCGACCCCCGGGCCTCCCGGCGGAGGGGTGCCTCGAAGGAGCCGCTGGGCGTCGCGCGTGCACGGGCGAGCAGGGCGAGATCCCGAGCGTGCGGGGTTGGCCGACCCCGCCCTGCAGGACGCCTGTGCCACTCCCTGCCGGGCCCCCGCTGGGCCACCCCCATCACCCCCCTCCTGCTCCTCCTCCTCCTATTCCTCCTCCTCCTCGTCCTCCTCCTCCTCCTCCTCCTTGCTGGGCCCCCGCTGGGCCTGGACGGCTAGTGCACACAACTCTTCTCTTGCTGGGTCCGCTGGGGATCCGTCGAGCCTACCCTACCCCAGGCGCCGCAAGCAGAGACCGCAGGGCAGATCGGCGTCTGATGCTGTGTCGGACTTCGGGGTCCCTTTTTGCAGACCGATCCGTCGGTTTTGCTGAATCGGCAGATCGATGTCGAGTTCGATATCTCGGCCGATCGATCGACGGATCTTCCTGCATTGATAGGTCGGTCGGCCTGGACTGATCGACGGACGCATCGACATGTCCAGGGCGAAAACGAGGTCAGGTGCTGCAGGCCTCCTTTTGACGTGATTCCTCCATGGTACCGCGCTGCCCATGGGTGGGGGAGGAGGGCCCTCCAGAGGCCTCAAGAAGACAAACTCATGCCTATTACTTCTCTACTCGACCACGGCGGCGGCAGTGACGACTGCGAGGGCAACAGCGACGACCTCGACGACGGCGGCGGCGTTGACGGCGGTGTCGGCGGAGGCGGCGGCGGCGGCGGCGGCCCACGTGGCGCACGAGGTCGCGGGGCTGCTGGACGGCGGCGCGGCGGCCACGCCCCCGCCGCGGAGGGCGCCGGCGGTGGCGAAGCCCGGGGCGGCAGGGGGCCGAGCCGCGCCCAGCCTGGAGCTGGACCAGGTGGGGAGACGGGTGTGCCCAGATTCACCTCGGTCCAGAGGCGTGCCCCCGAGGATCTCGCGGAGCGCTGGATGCGGATGCGCCGACTTTCCAGGATGGCCAAGAAACTAGCGCCAGGACCTGGACAGCCAAATTCCCGACGAGGTTCTGAGGCAGCGCGGATCGGCCTGCAGGCCTGGAGGGCCTCTTCTTGGCACTCTGGGAGGGTCAGGGTATTTACCCTCCCGCTCGGGGGCACGCCTCCCAAACCCACGGACACGGGTATAGATTTATGTCGGGCCTGCCCCCCTACAGGGGGCTTTTCGACGAAAAATCAAAGATACCCCTCAAAATGCCCCAAAAAGGTTGAAACATATTGAAAAAATAGTCCCCAGACTATTTTTACGTTTTTTTTTAAATATCGTCGAAAATCCCCATGTAGGGGGACAGGCCCGACTTAAGTAATTATACATGCCGCGCAGGTCGTGTGGGTGAGGGGCTGCAGCCCCTCAGGCGTCGCGATCCTCTCACGTGAGCGTCACCCCAGCATACTTATACTGTATGCGCGTCGCCCCCTCAGGGGCGACGCTGGCACCGAGAGATCGTATGGTGTATGCGTCGTGGCGGGCGCTTTCTGGCCGCACCGCTCGGGAAACGATATACTACAAGATGGGTGTGCTAAATCTTCGGGTCGGACGCGCGCCTCCAAGGAGGACAATATAGTACGAGTCTTACCTGGCACGCCTCTGTGCGCCCCATCACAGTGGGAGGGGCGGACGAGGAGGCCGAGGACGAGGACGAGGGAGCGCTGCCCCCCCCCCACGGAGCAGGGCCTCGCCTTCGGCGTCGACGTCGCCCCGCCGCGGCGCTCCGGCGCCGCGACCCGCGCGGCGACCCCCGCGGCGGCGGGGGCCCCCGGCGCGGAGGCCGCCGCGGCGGCGCAGCCGCTCGGGGCCGTCGGCAGCGCTGGCCGGCCCGCAGGCTGAAGTCGGGCATGTCCCTCTACAGGATGAATGTTCACAAATAATCCAAAAAATAGTCTGGGGACGATTTCTTGACTATTTATACCTGTTGTTGAACATTTTTGGTGCATTGTTTCATCATTCTTCCAAAATCCGCCTGTAGGAGGACGTGCACGACATAGCCGCAGGCGTCGCTGGCGGCCCGCAGGCGTCGCCGGGCGGCGCGCCGGGCGTCGCGCGGCCCTCGCGCGGAGGCGTCGCGCTGCTGCTGCTCGCGGTGAGCTCCGGGGGCGCGGCGCTGGCGCTGCTGGCCTGGGCGCGGAGGCGCGGGCGCGCGGGCGGCAGGTGAAGAAAAGAGCCCTACAGGTGGCGCCGACGGCCGCGGCGACGCCGGCGGCGACGCCGACGGCGATGCCGACGGCGGCACGGGCGGCGACGACCCGAAGATGAATAAACGCGTCGTCGTTGCTTACGTCGTCGTCTTTGTGGTCTTCGTCGCCGTCTACGTCGTCGCCATGGCTGTCATCGTTTACGTCAACATCGTCCTTGTTGCCGTCGTCGCAGCCTCGCAGCCCTTCCTCCCCGCCACCGACTCTTGATCGTCGTCGGTGGAGGAACAGAAAACGGCATAGACATGAACTTTTGGCGCTCCGCGAGGATTTCTTGGATCCGCGCTGGGGCTCCCTGGCGGCGCCTCCGGCGCCGCCCCTGGCGCGCTCCTCGCGCAGATTTGCGAAAGTTTATGTTTATGCCTGTTGTTGTTCCTCTAACGACGACGATCACGAGTCGGCGGCGGCGAGGAAGGGCTGCGAGGCTGCGACGACAGCATCAAGGACGACGTTGACGTAAACGATGACAGCCATGGCGATGACGTAGACGGCGACGAAGATCACAAAGACGACGACGTAAACAACGACTACGAAGGGGAAGAGTGGTTGCATGGACAGACGCGAGGGGCCTGCCACAAGCGAAACGCACAGCAACCGCAGAACAGCAGCCCGGTATTTAGCTTTCATACATCCGCTGGAATCGCACTGAGGGGCGCCTAACTCAATGGTTGACGCTTCGCACATTATACCCACCAGGCCATCCATAATTTGTTTGAAGGGCTTCGCCCGCTGCCGGCCACTCATCTGGCTGCCTGCGTTGCTGGGTCGATTGGAGAGGTTGATTGGATGATTGGTTGGCAGGGTTGCAACCTGGCTGTTTGGCTGTCTGTGCGTCCTCTTTCCCTTTCCCCGCGCGCTCCCTTCTGCCTGCTACGCGCTGTGCCCAAATCGGCCACGTGCACCCCACGTCTGCTTTAGAGCGCGGCTCGGATTTTCGCCGCTGCGACTGACACAGGTTGGCTGTTTGTCTGCATGGACTGTCGGCCGTCCAGCAGGTCAGCTGAAGTGTCGATCGGTTGCCAGGCGTGCTGGCTGGTTGCGAGGGCGGATCGGTGGAGGCGGGTTCGGAGCGCGGTTCGCTCGAAGGCGCGCACACCTAGTTCTTTTCGCATCGCATCGTGGCCGCGAAGGTGCGGACCCATCTTTTTGTATGAGGGCTCTCGCGGGCCCGCAAGCGCGGACCTAGGATGTTTCAAGGCTGCCATCTCTGCTGTCGACCCCAACATGAAGTCGGGCCTGTGCCTCTACAGGAGGAATGTTCAAACATAGTCAAACAATAGTCCGGGGACGACTTGTCTTCAGCATGTTTTGGCTATTTGGGGACATTCTTTCTGACAATTTGTCAACTTTCGCCCAACATCCTCCTGTAGGGGGACATGCCCGACCCAACCCCAGCAACACCAGTTGCAGGGAGGTGGTCCTTCGTGGGTGCGTCGGGGCTCGTGGGCCGGTAGAGTGTCCTGGCTGGAGCGCCTGGACGGCGAGAGCCTGGGAATCGCTACACAACGCGAGGGGGAGGAGGAGGAGGAGGAGGAGGAGGAGGAGGAGGAGGAGGAGGAGGAGAAGGAGGAGGAAGAGGATTTATAGAGATCCGTGGTCTCGTTGTCGCCAGGCTGTTCTTGAGGCTGTCTCGTGGCCCGCCCTTGCAGGGCTCGTTTCGATTCCTCCGATGCGATTCGGTTCGATTTCGGTGGACTCCGACTCCGACTCCGATTCGATTCGACGTCGGCTTCAGACCTGGACTCCAGTTTTCTTGATGAGTCATTACTACGCTGCCGGTTTCTGACGATTCGACTCCTCCCGACGATTCGATTCATTTCGATCGCCGATTCGACTCATCGCTTTGATCCTGGGCTCTCCTGCCTGCGCCATCTTGGAGGCCTCTAGGGCAGCCCCGAGACCATCTCGGGCCGTTTTGGGACCCTCCTGGGCCGTCCTCGAGCGCTCTCTTGGAGCACCTTCTGGCGGCCATTGGATCAGGCCAGCCACAACTGGGGGAGCTGTGGTCCTTACCCCCCTGGGGGACCCATCGATTTCGACACCCCTCTCGAGAGATCGTCGACGCGATGGGTTCCCCAAGGGGGGTAAGGACCACAGCTCCCCCAGTTGTGGCTGGTCGGTGGGTGGCATGCCCCGGCCCCCGTGGCAGCGCCTCTCCCTGGCCCTCCCCATGGGGCTCTTCGGGGGTACGCCGGAGAGCGACGTGCCGAGGCGCGCGGCGAGCTGCGTGCGACCCCCTTCCGGCAGAGGGTGGGGCGGCGGGCGGGTTCCAGGAATCTCGGGGGCGGAAAGGAGGAGGGTGATGACTAGGTGGGGGGTGGATATCATGTCGTGGGCCATGAAATTTCCCCATATTTCATGGCGCCTCTTCTTATTTTATTACGTCCCTGGCCCTCCCCTTGGGCCGCGCACGTGCTGCCGGCCACGATTTGGACCCCCCCCTCTTGGACGCCCCCCTCTTGGCCGCCCCCGCGAATCACCAGAGACAACAAGTATCACTACCACCAGCTACGGCGGTGGCTGTCCCACCCCCTCGAGCTGGTGGCGCCTCGTTCCGGGCATGCCTCCCGAGAGTTCCTGGAAGGAGGTGCCACCAGCTCGAGGGGAGGGAGCGGCCACCGTGCGCACCGATGCGTCCACCACACCGGCGTCCCCCTGGAGCTTACGCCCTGCCTTGCTCGCGAGCGCGAGCTTACTGTTGCTGTTACGAAATCCCGCCATCCGATTGATATGCTTGAAGGCAGTAAGTGGGGTATCCTTCCAGTGCCAAATTTTCATAAGGGAGTTCACCAACAGCTCATGCTGCAAACGCTGGTGCGCTGTAGAAGCACACAAATGTAGCAAGCGCGCGCGTTCCAGCGGCCCACGTCGTGCGCTCCAGCTCCCACCTGTCACGAGGGGGCCTGATTTGGACCTCTCGGGGGCCTCCTGGGGCATTCTGGGGGTGGCCTCTTGGGATCCTGCTGGCGGTCTTGGGGGTCATCTTGGGGCGAAGGGCGCGAGATGTCAGTTCGAGTTCCCCCTCTCGGGACCCTCGTCTTCGGCCGTCTTGGGGGGCTTTTTGTGCCGTCTGGGGCCCACTGCCGGGGCAATCTATTGGGCCGATTCAGGGCGGTTTCAGAGCGTCAGAAGCCCGAGCATCCTTCAGACAACGAGTAGCAATCATGAAAACAGAGAGCGCGAATACGGCTTCGGGGGGCCTCTGGGAGCCCTCTTGGCGCGTACAGGGGCCTCGTGGACCGTCTTGAGGCCGTCTTGGGCATCTGGGAGCGATCTCTGGGCTCGGGGCCCTCGTACATTGTCTCGGGGATCTCTCGGTGCCCTCCTGGGCCATCTTGGGGCCCTCTTTGCCCGTTGTGGGATCGCTTTGGGCTTCCCTGGAGCTCGGCCAGAGCGCGCGCTGACACGCTCCCGGAGCGCCCTGGATTTTCGAGCACAAGGGGGGCCAGGCCCTACAAGCAGGAAACAAGAGGACAGTTCCTCCTCAGTGCTCAAGAGACAGGTGTCACTGCAAACGGGGGTCAGTCAGAGCGCCTGCTCTTGCTGGATCCTGCGGGACCAGGGTCGCACTGACCTTGCTTTGAGCGCAAGATCCTGCAAGGCCCGACTGACCCGGGTCTGGAGTGACCTGGGTCAGTATATCCCTGACCTCTACGACGCACAATTGAGTGAGCCTCGAGGCGCTCCACTACGTGCTGTAGGGCCTTCTGGGCGCATCTCGGGTTATCCTGGAACCGTCTCCAGGCCTCAGAAGCGCATCGAAAGCGAAGCAAAGAGAAGACATGCACATTTGAAACATGCCCGAGGGGCGGACTTTTCATCTCAGAGGGGCAGGCTGAAGGAGCGCGCTGGCCCTTCCACCCCACGGCGCTTGACCGACCAGGCCGATGGCCTTGTCTGGTCAACCAGCGCGCCCGCGTGCAGGTCATCGGCCTGGACGGCAGCATGACCGCACAGGTGGCCGAACTGGGCTCTCCGCAGTACGAGGGTCTGGACCGCGAGGAGTGCAGGCCCCCTTTCCCCTCCTCCTCTCCCCTCCCCAGGTATCCAGCGCCTCGGAAAAATCGAGGCGACCGGTTTGTCACCATCACTTGGCTTGTGGAGACCGTTTTCGGTCCTCGGGACGGTCAACCAAAGATTTGGCATCAAAATTTTGCCCATGGGGAAGGGCCGAGAGGTCCATCGCCTGAAAGAACGGGTTCCCGAGGGAAGATTGCGCAGGAGAGGCTCTCCAACCCGAGGTGTTTTTGGACGGCCCCAGGGCCTGTGGAGAGAGCCCAGGGGCTCCGTCCACGGTCCCAATAAACTTTAGGAGTCCCTTCTTCCGGTACCCGTCGGTCGTTGAACGTAGGTGAATTTGGATCCCCAGATCCTAATCTACTTGAGGCGCCTTCCTACCTCGAGAATCGATAACTATTCATTTGTTGCGTGTGGTTTTTTCTCTGGGATGGCCTGAGCCCAATCTACTTGATCCTAGGGCTCGAGCCAAACGTTGTTTTAGCGATCTCGTGGACCACTTCCGTGTTGATTCCCTTTCGCGGCAAGGGCGGACCGAAAGACAGCACGAGGGGAAAACGAAGACAAAACGAAAACGGAAAACGCCGTTGAGGGCGTTCCCTGCTCGAGCTGCGTTCCTGCTCCGTGTGTTTGCCTACTCCTTGCGACCGACGTGCACCGCTTCAGAACCGAGCGAAGCGCCGGACGTCTGGGCCGGGACTCCCCGGGTGCTCCGGGGTGTGCCCCCGGGAGTCGCCGCGCGGCCCGTGCCGAGGCCGTGCCTGGGGGCCCGCGTTCTGGTTGGCCCGAAAGGGGGTCCAGCTACCAGGGGGTGGTGCAATAGATTTGGTGCAATATCCAGGCGATCGCAGACCTGGGTCCAGGGGCGTGCATTAGCGACCGGCCTCGTTTCCATAGGACATCGCGGATTTCCGTCGCTGGAGGATGCGGCACTGGCTGCATTTTGGGGAGGGCACCTCCCCCGGTCCGTGGACTTGGCGACCGCGCGCCAAATCCATGGATCGTTAATCCATGCTTGCGCGCACCCGAAATACGTTTGTGGATTGCAGTAGAATCGGGGCGTGCAGTACATTCCGGGGCGCAAATGTAATGCTGGATGTTCGCGTGCAGTACATAAGTTTCGGGGTGACCTACAAGGGGTCCAGCTACAAGGGGGTGGTGCAACAGATTTGGTGCAATATATTTGCGGATTGCAGTTGAGTTGGGGCGGGCAGTACTTTCTGGGGTGCAAAATGTATGGCTGAATTTTAGCATGCAATGCAGACTATTGCCCCAAACCTATTGCACTACCCTCTTGCAGCTGGACCCCCTTTTGGGTCACCCAAATAGTTGCAATACAATGCAGTACAATTCCCTGGCGCAATACATTTGCAATACAATTGCACCGAATCTATTGCACCACTCCCTTTCACATGGACCCCAGTTTGGGGTCAACCGAACCCGTGCTCCTGAGATGCCCGAGAGTGCTCCCACGGGCCCGCGGGGGAGCCATCTTTCAGGAGGGGAAGGCACACAGACACAAGGAAATCGTCGACTCCCAGGAAAATCCATCGGGTAAGGCAAACACGCGACAGAGATTCGAACATCTGGGGGATCCGGGACGTCGTGTCTCTTTCTTTGTGTGCCCTTTGGGCCCCCTTCCGTCTTCTGGGCCTCCCTGGGCCCGGGGGCACCGCCTCGAGGGGGTCGAGGGGCGCCGGACGTCGGGGCTACCCCTCTCTGCCACAGGTCGGGCACTTGTAGTCAGGGCCTTGGTTCGAAGTCGGCTGTCCCTCTGCAGGGGGGAAACTAAAAAATGACTTGGCAAAACAAATAGTCTGGAGACGCTCCTCTGACTTTCTGAGAATTTGGGAACAGTTTTCTGATAATTTGGGAACAGTTTTTGACGTCTGTTTTGATTTGTCGTTCAACATCCGCCTGCAAGGGGACATGCCCGACCTGACCCTGGTTCAGGGAAGCCGGCTAGTTCATTCTTAAGGCAGGAACAAACACCCGGACCCGACAACTGGCGTTTACTAAACGGCCCCTAGTGTTTACTAGACAGCCCTGCCCTGTTTGATTCCCTATTCTGGGCGCGTTCACTGAACGACTTCGCGTGTGGGGGTGGTTATTTAATCGCTTCGCTCATTCCGCCGGCCCATACAGTCTCATGTCTGCCGTTTGCCCGAGGGCCTGGTGTCAATGCGGCGCTTTGGGGGTTCCTGGGGCCGCTTGGGGGACTCCTGGGGCGCTCGGGGGGGCATTTGGGGGGCCTCCTGGGGCCGCTTGGGGGACTCTTGGGGGCCTCCTGAGGGCCCCGTGGGGGCCTCTTGGGGCCTCTTAGGGGCCTCGTAGGGGCTTCTTAGGGCCGAGGGCTCGAAATGTTGTTTCGTGTTCCCTCTCTGGGGCCCCTTTGGGGGCGTTCTTGGGGCCCTCTTGGACCGTTTTGGAGGCTTCTTGGGCCGTCTTCGAGCCCTCTTGGGCCATCTTGGGGCCCTCTTGGGTGCCTCTTGGGCCCTCTTGGGGCGATCTTGGGGGCCTCTTGGGCCGTCTTGGGGCGTCGGGAAGCCGAAAAGGTGGAAGCTCCAAAATCTCTCAAAAACCTATGGAAAAACAATGATTTTTGCCTCCGGGGGCCCTATTGGGAGTGCTCTTGGAGGCCTCTTGGGGCGTCTGGGGGCTATCTTGGGCGTCTTGGAGCGATCTTGTGGCATGTCGGACCCCTCGTGTACCATCTTGGGGGCCTCTTGGGGGCCTCTTGGCCTTTCTTGGGGCTCTCGGGGACGTCTCGGAGCCCTGTTGGTGCGCTCATGGAGCGCTCGGGGGGACCCGGCCGGGACCCGGCCGGGACCCGGCCGGGACCCGGCCGGGGACCGGCCGGGACCTGGTCGGGGTACTTTTCGTCCGGGGACCCCCAGGGGCCGCCCCGCGCGCGCGAACTAGAAAATTGTTAACCAGTTACCGGAGATCTTAGCACGCCTCTGGCCCGTTGGGCCGGCGAATTCTGGGGGTGGATTTTGGACCTCTATGATTGGGTCCCGAAGTCTAATATACGGACTGGAATCTTTCAATCAGGCGATCGCAAACATGGATCAAGGGTGCGTGGATTAGCGACGGGTCCTGCTATCATGGGGTATCGCGGATTTCTGCCGCCGAGCGAGGCGGCACCGGCCACATTTTTGTGGGGGTCTTCCCCGATCAATGGATTTGGTGACAATGCGCCAAGTCCATGGATCGCTAATCAATGTTTGCGCGCCCCCGATAAAACCAGGTCTGCCGTAGCTGGTGTTTTTGTTCGGGTGACGGCAGCTCCGGTTAGTGGAATGGGGCGAGGGGGGGCGTCCCCAGGTAGACATCACGACGGAACCCGGTCCCACTAAACCCAGGCCTGACAGCGCCCGAACAAAAGTAGGTACACGGACACCTTCCCATGGATTGTTCCTGGGCCACAGGGGAGGATGGCGGTGTATCAATCACCACATGGAGCCCATACAGCACTGCCGCTGCGTGGTCTCTGCAACGGCGGATCGATGGATACGGGGACAGCCCTCTTGAGGGGCAGCGGATTGTGTGGTGTCCGCTGCCAACTTCTCTCCCCGGGAAAAACCACCGAGAGCCTGCGACTTTACACACCGCCACTCCCCCGGAAGATACACGCACACATTCTTCGGAGGGTGTCTTTGTGCATATTCGGAGGGACGCCAACAGTACACCACCACCAGCCCTGGCCAGGTCCATCCCAGGCCATGGACTGGTGTACAGACCTCCAGGCCCAGGGCCTGGGCCAGGAGGGCCTGTACGCCAGTCCAGGGCCCAGGATGGGCCTGGCCTGGGCTGGTGGAGGTGTATTGTTTGGAGCTCCCCTCTACGTACCTGTCTCTGTGGCACAGCCCCTCCTCCTCCCCCTCCCCCTCCACCCCTCCCCTCCTCTCCCTCCTGCTCCTCCCCTCCTCCTCCTCCTCCTCCTCCTCCTCCTCCTCCTCCTCCTCCTCACTCCTCCTCCTCCTCTCCCTCCCCTCCTCCTCCTCCTCCTCCCCGTTCGCCTGCCGTGCCGCCGCCCGGGCCCGAGGCGGAAGCTGTGGGCCGACCTGGAGCAGGCGGGCGTCGCCCTCAAGAAGGAGGAGCCGGGCCGCCCCCTCGAAAGGGAGGAGGGAAGAGGAGGAGGAGGAGGAGGAGGAGGAGGAGGAGGAGGAGGAGGAGGGAGGGAGGAGGAGGAGGAGGAGGAGGGAGCAGGAGGCAGGAGGAGGAGGGGGAGGGGGGAGGAGGAGGAGGAGGGGGAGGGGGGATGAGGAGGAGGAGGAGGAGGAGGAGGAGGAGGAGGAGGAGGAGGAGGAGGAGGAGGAGGAGGAGGAGGAGGATGGGGGAGGAGGAGGAGGAGGAGGAGGAGGAGGAGGAGGAGGAGGAGGAGGAGAAGGAGGAGGAGGAGGCGGAGGAGGAGGAGGAGGAGGAGGAGGAGGAGGAGGAGGAGAGGAGGAGGAGGAGGAGGAGGAGGAGGAGGAGGCGGAGGAGGAGGAGGAGGAGGAGGAGGAGGAGGAGGATGAGGAGGGGGAGGAGGAGGAGGAGGGGGGGGAGGAGGAGGAGGGAGGAGGAGGAGGAGGAGGAGGAGGAGGAGGAGGAGGAGGAGGAGGAGGAGGAGGAGGAGGAGGAGGGACCAGAAGTGACCATGAAAGGACGAGCGTCCGCAAAACTAAACGGGTTAGGCGGGGACTAATCCGACGATGAGTCCCCGCCTTCACGGTGAGGGATCCTGGTGGGTCGGCGAGCCGCTCCACCCTCACCTCCCACACAGAAAAGGGGCTGCTGCATTCCACTCTCCTCCCGAGCCTCCCTCGCACGCTGGACCGCGTCCGAAGCTTCACGCTGCACTCTGGCCAGCTGCACCGCCTTCGGGGGTCCCCTGTGCGAAGGAAAAATGCCTCGACGAATCCTGTCAAGGTTCTGGGCTCCTTTGGGGGAGGGCTCCTGGCAAGGACGTGCGAGCCACCTACCATCCACTGTGGCGGTCAGCCCACAACAAACACAAAAATGCAGGGAAAACTCAGGCCAATAGAAGATTTTGTGGGACGAGTGGGCCGAGGTGGCCCCAATCAAAATCTCTCCAGTCCTCAAGACAAATTGGCTCCACTCCGACTTCTGACCTCGGATCTCAGGGGCCAGGCCTGGACAAGACTGAGCACAAAACTTGAGGAGCTGGGTGGAAGCCACAATCTGACTGCAAACCCTACAGCGCCACCTGCTCCCGACCTGCTCACAATCATGAGAGGTGTCCCTCAGGGCAGCAGCCTTCCTGGAGGGAGGGGGCACCCGCACTTTGGCGAGCCTTGTGGCCTGCCAAGGGTCAACCTGGAGTGAGCACTGCAACGCACGTCGGGCCCTGCGTCTGACAAGGTGGGCGATGCAATCATAGATGTCAGTACTGGGGGCAGGCTGGCGAGTATACAGGAGCAAGGCCTCGTCAGCCGCTTTACCCGCAAGGTCATCAGCGCACATGTTGCCAGCAGTGAGGAAAACTTGCCAAGCACTGAGCGCCTTGCCTGTGTCTTCTAGATGGGCAGCCGTCCACACGACCTGCACTTCAGCCACCCCCCGATTACGCAACGCCACCGCCACCCTGTACCACAAGTCCTGATTCGGGCCTAGCTTGCCGTGGGCTCGACCTGCTCTCCAACCATCCAGGACAGGCTGGCAATCAGTGATATAAATGATGGGTCCCGTGGTTTCTTCCAGAGCGATGGCAAACGCAGCTATCTCCGCGCGCGACACGGTCTGCCGCGGCCCCAGGAGGGGGGAAGAGACACCCGCGACCGGCTCCCAGGAGCCATCCTCAGCCCGACGAATGAGGGCAACTCCAGAGCCACAGCGCCTGCGTCTCGGGTCACTGCTGCATTTCCCCCCCGACCCATCTCCAAAAATGTGGGGAGGGTCCTGGCCAGGGGCAACACAAAACTCGCTGAGGCGAGAGGAGCCGCAGTACGTAAGAGGAGGGGCCTCAAGAGGGTCAAGGAAGACGGGGCAGGTGAGGTCTCTCGGCGGGACTCCTCTCAGCCATAAAGAAGGGTCTGCTTCCCATTGCGCCGTGGCTTGGGAAATCAGTGACTGCGTGCTGCTAAAATCTTGGTGATCTACATTACACGCGCACTGCCATATTCTGTGAAACAAGGTCTCAGGGGCCGCCTTGCACCTTGGACAAGTTACGTCAACCGTGTAGCCACTGTCGGCTTGGCGCTGACGTGGCCATTGGCCCCCCGAGGCCACGCACATGGTGAGGCCCCACAGGTCCGCCTGACCCCGAGACTCGAAGCGACGGAGTTCCTGCTGCAGGGGGAGGAGATCGGCTCCTTCTTTCAAACTGTCGCCTGCCTCGTGCCCTGCAGCACCTTGCCACAACTTAGCCTTCATATCGGAAACAAACTCATGCAACAAGTCTGCATGGTCAGAAATCGGGAGTAAATCGTAATCTGGGTCGCCCATTCGTGGGAACCTCCACGCATGCTCCGCATGATCGGGTCGCTCCCACAGGTCAGGTTCCCTGGGCTCCCATCCTGCTTCAAGAAGGGTGGCCTGGACTGCAGCTATGGGCCCCCGAATGCCTCTCCACCTTTTGGCGCCAAGCGAATCGAGCTGCGACCGAACGATACCCCACGACCGTCGAATTCGAGGCTGGAGGGCGGGGAAGCGCTTCCACAGCTGCAGCCAGGCGTCCACCAATTGGCGGCGCACTTCCAGGGCGGGATCTCCATCCCCCAGCACCGTCTGCAGAACAGTTGTTAAACATTTGCCCTTGCCCATTCCCGAGTCCGTGCGAGCAGCTTGTCGCCTAAGAAGCAGGACCTGACTCGGTGGCATACCATAAACTTGATGGCCAAAGCTGGCCTGTGGTAAGGCTCCCGTGCGCCAAGCGCCCTGGGTGACTTTCCTCAAACCAGCCAGCCTGCGCATCTTCACAATCCTAGAAAACGCCCGCTGGCTTTAGTCATTCTCTGGCGTGCCTTCTTCCGTGTCCGAAAACGTCCTGCCGCAGTGTCTACACCTAAATCAACACCAACGGAAGCAAACCTAGCGGGCATCCCTCGGGCTCTGAAAATTCTGGCAATGTGCTTACCTAGCTCAGGAGAGGACGCCAAGACAACCGTTTTGTCCGAGACAGTGAGCCTTTTGAGTCTGAATCCCTCCGAGAAAGCTTCAGCTAAACCTTCCATCTCAGAAACAACAGTGGCCTGGGTGCCCTCTGATCTTCCCACAGTGTCATCGACGAAGGTCCATAACGAGGCCTGAGGGGCTCGAATGTGCGCAGCCTCCAGCACAGAATGCAAGAACACTTTTCCAAGGCAGACTCCATGCGACGATCCAGCCACAATCGAGCGGCCTGGGCAGAACGGTTCGCTGATGACCGAGCCCTCCTTGAGGATGCGCGGCGCCATGAAGAGCAGGATCTCCATGAACAGCACCGTGGGGGGGAAGTTGAGCCCCCGCGCCGCCACCACCAGGAGGGTGAAGGAGATGGAGTCGTAGAACTTGGCAATGTCCAGCAAGACCGTCGCCGTTGCCTTGCCTGTGGTAGCAGAGGCCTCATCCATGAGGCTTCTCGTCATCGCGGCTCTCAGGGCGCTGCTGCCCCTGATGGCCGTGTCCCAGAAAGCAGAAAGTCCATCTGACCAACTGGAGGTGACCGAACTGCGCGCCTGACTCCACGTCTTGCAGCATTGCGGCAACACGCCCAGTACTCTCGTGCCTCCAGCTGGCTTCGGAATAACTGCACAAATAGTAGCTAACCACGCTGTCGGCCAAGTTTGCAGTAGCTCCGCTTGATTGAGGATACACGTGAGCTCAGACAGTCCAGCTTGAGGCATGCGTTGAAGGTCAACTGGGCCCAAGCCATCAACTCCGCTAGCTTTGTTTGGCGATTGTCGTCTAAGAATCGATTCAATCTGTCCTTCATTCAGTGGTGGCAAGGGGTCATCACGAGCATCCCTGGCCAATCCCTCCAACGTCCATAGCAAGTGCTCCCTGCTGTCATTATCCTCCTGCCACACTGCCTGCCAAAAGTCCTTCTTCGTGCGAATGAGTACGCAAGGGTCGGCGGTGTCCACGCCATCTCTGATGATCTCACGAGGAAGTGGGTCAGGGGGAGGAGCACGTACATGACGATGAATAGCACCTGGCCTCTTGGCCCACATCTGCTTCGCCCAGTCCATGAAGGCTTGGCGAGACTTGACTAATGAGCGCCCCTGGGCGCGGTCGACCCACGTGTTGGTGTGCACCTGGAGCTGCTCCAACTCAGTCTGGCTGAGGTGCGGCGCCTGCTGGGCAGCGTCCTTCCACTCTTGCACTGTGGTGGTCAAGGCCTTCTTCCCGAAGAATTCCTGCTGCTTGGTGTCTGTCAGGCCCTGGACCATGGACCGAAAGCCCGCGAGGCACTTCTCCGCCTCTGGAGGGTCCCTGCCTGAGCGTGTCAAGGCCACGCCTCGAGCAAGCAGCGTGGAGGCGATCCCCCACCATTCGGCTACAGGGTCGCACATGTGAGGTCGACCTGGGGCAGGGCGCATCTTCCTCCATGAAATTGAATACCCTTGCCCTCTGCCGAAAAACATAACGGGGTCTTCCACATCGCTGACCGCAACAATAGACCGCTCCAAGGTAGTGACCCATCGTCCATATCGATTATCCAAGGTAGAGCGTTGAGTGGGCCTCCAGGTCGACAGGGGACCTGTCGACAACTGTGCTGCCGCTGTTCGTGGTCTGAAGGTATCCTGCTCCAATTCGCCATAGATCTGGAGCCATGCTTCCTGCTCCAACTTGAACGCGACCTTGGGGCCTTCTGGCTGTGGCTCCTGAGATGGCAGGTCGTCGAAGGCCTCGCGCAGCTCTTCGGGGAGTTCCTGTCTGCGTGCATCTGCCACCTGCTTGCGCTTCTGGGATCGCTTGCTGTCTGGGTTTGGCTCTTGCTGAGGGCGGTTGGCCCTGGGTAGCGGCTCTGGCAGTTCCAGCGACCTATGCCACCAAGTACGCTTGGCGTCCAGCACATCAATGGCAATAGCGCAATGAGTCTTCCAAGGAACAGCTAAAACTTGCCTGAGCCTGATGCGGTCCGAAGTAAGCTGCTTAGAGACAATGGCATAATCA